CTGAGTGTCTGACTGGGTGACTGACTGAGTGACTGGGTGACTCACTGCAGGGTGGACAAGGAGGATGAGATCGCGTGCCTCATCAAGGGCTGTAACTTCGTGCTGAGTGTCTGACTGACTGACTGAGTGACTGACTGAGTGTCTGACTGACTGACTGAGTGACTTACTGAGTGACTGGGTGACTCACTGCAGGGTGGACAAGGAGGATGAGATCGCGTGCCTCATCAAGGGCTGTAACTTCGTGCTGAGTGTCTGACTGAGTGTCTGACTGACTGAGTGACTGACTGACTGAGTGAGTGACTGACTGAGTGACTTACTGAATGACTGGGTGACTCACTGCAGGGTGGACAAGGAGGATGAGATCGCGTGCCTCATCAAGGGCTGTAACTTCGTGCTGAGTGTCTGACTGAGTGAGTGACTTACTGAGTGACTGGGTGACTGACTGAGTGACTGACTGGGTGACTGACTGAGTGACTGAGTGACTGACTGACTTACTGAGTGACTGAGTGACTGACTGAGTGACTGGGTGACTGACTGCAGGGTGGACAAGGAGGATGAGATCGCCTGCCTCAAGGGCTGTAACTTCGTGCTGAGTGTCTGACTGACTGACTGAGTGAGTGACTGACTGAGTGTCTGACTGACTGAGTGACTGAGTGTCTGACTGACTGAGTGACTGACTGACTGAGTGTCTGACTGGGTGACTGACTGAGTGACTGGGTGACTCACTGCAGGGTGGACAAGGAGGATGAGATCGCCTGCCTCAAGGGCTGTAACTTCGTGCTGAGTGTCTGACTGACTGACTGAGTGACTGACTGAGTGTCTGACTGACTGACTGAGTGACTTACTGAGTGACTGGGTGACTCACTGCAGGGTGGACAAGGAGGATGAGATCGCGTGCCTCATCAAGGGCTGTAACTTCGTGCTGAGTGTCTGACTGAGTGTCTGACTGACTGAGTGACTGACTGACTGAGTGAGTGACTGACTGACTGAGTGACTGACTGACTGAGTGACTTACTGAATGACTGGGTGACTCACTGCAGGGTGGACAAGGAGGATGAGATCGCGTGCCTCATCAAGGGCTGTAACTTCGTGCTGAGTGTCTGACTGAGTGAGTGACTTACTGAGTGACTGGGTGACTGACTGAGTGACTGACTGGGTGACTGACTGAGTGACTGAGTGACTGACTGACTTACTGAGTGACTGAGTGACTGACTGAGTGACTGGGTGACTGACTGCAGGGTGGACAAGGAGGATGAGATCGCCTGCCTCAAGGGCTGTAACTTCGTGCTGAGTGTCTGACTGACTGACTGAGTGAGTGACTGACTGAGTGTCTGACTGACTGAGTGACTGAGTGTCTGACTGACTGAGTGACTGACTGACTGAGTGTCTGACTGGGTGACTGACTGAGTGACTGGGTGACTCACTGCAGGGTGGACAAGGAGGATGAGATCGCCTGCCTCAAGGGCTGTAACTTCGTGCTGAGTGTCTGACTGACTGACTGAGTGACTGACTGAGTGTCTGACTGACTGACTGAGTGACTTACTGAGTGACTGGGTGACTCACTGCAGGGTGGACAAGGAGGATGAGATCGCGTGCCTCATCAAGGGCTGTAACTTCGTGCTGAGTGTCTGACTGAGTGTCTGACTGACTGAGTGACTGACTGACTGAGTGAGTGTCTGACTGACTGAGTGACTGACTGACTGAGTGACTTACTGAATGACTGGGTGACTCACTGCAGGGTGGACAAGGAGGATGAGATCGCGTGCCTCATCAAGGGCTGTAACTTCGTGCTGAGTGTCTGACTGAGTGAGTGACTTACTGAGTGACTGGGTGACTTACTGAGTGACTGACTGGGTGTCTGACTGAGTGACTGAGTGAGTGACTGAGTGACTGGGTGACTGACTGCAGGGTGGACAAGGAGGATGAGATCGCGTGCCTCATCAAGGGCTGTAACTTCGTGCTGAGTGTCTGACTGAGTGTCTGACTGACTGAGTGACTGACTGAGTGACTGAGTGACTGACTGAGTGACTGAGTGACTGGGTGACTGGGTGGACTGACTGCAGGGTGGACAAGGAGGATGAGATCGCGTGCCTCATCAAGGGCTGTAACTTCGTGCTGAGTGTCTGACTGACTGAGTGACTGAGTGTCTGACTGAGTGTCTGACTGACTGAATGACTGAGTGACTGACTGAGTGACTGAGTGACTGACTGAGTGTCTGAGTGACTGACTGAGTGACTGACTGAGTGACTTACTGAGTGACTGGGTGACTCACTGCAGGGTGGACAAGGAGGATGAGATCGCGTGCCTCATCAAGGGCTGTAACTTCGTGCTGAGTGTCTGACTGAGTGTCTGACTGACTGAGTGACTGACTGACTGAGTGAGTGTCTGACTGACTGAGTGACTGACTGACTGAGTGACTGAGTGACTCACTGAGTGTCTGACTGACTGAGTGAGTGACTGACTGAGTGTCTGACTGACTGAGTGACTGAGTGTCTGACTGACTGAGTGACTGACTGACTGAGTGTCTGACTGGGTGACTGACTGAGTGACTGGGTGACTCACTGCAGGGTGGACAAGGAGGATGAGATCGCCTGCCTCAAGGGCTGTAACTTCGTGCTGAGTGTCTGACTGACTGACTGAGTGACTGACTGAGTGTCTGACTGACTGACTGAGTGACTTACTGAGTGACTGGGTGACTCACTGCAGGGTGGACAAGGAGGATGAGATCGCGTGCCTCATCAAGGGCTGTAACTTCGTGCTGAGTGTCTGACTGAGTGTCTGACTGACTGAGTGACTGACTGACTGAGTGAGTGACTGACTGAGTGACTTACTGAATGACTGGGTGACTCACTGCAGGGTGGACAAGGAGGATGAGATCGCGTGCCTCATCAAGGGCTGTAACTTCGTGCTGAGTGTCTGACTGAGTGAGTGACTTACTGAGTGACTGGGTGACTGACTGAGTGACTGACTGGGTGACTGACTGAGTGACTGACTGACTGACTGACTGACTGAGTGACTGAGTGACTGACTGAGTGACTGGGTGACTGACTGCAGGGTGGACAAGGAGGATGAGATCGCCTGCCTCAAGGGCTGTAACTTCGTGCTGAGTGTCTGACTGACTGACTGAGTGAGTGACTGACTGAGTGTCTGACTGACTGAGTGACTGAGTGTCTGACTGACTGAGTGACTGACTGACTGAGTGTCTGACTGGGTGACTGACTGAGTGACTGGGTGACTCACTGCAGGGTGGACAAGGAGGATGAGATCGCCTGCCTCAAGGGCTGTAACTTCGTGCTGAGTGTCTGACTGACTGACTGAGTGACTGACTGAGTGTCTGACTGACTGACTGAGTGACTGACTGAGTGACTGGGTGACTCACTGCAGGGTGGACAAGGAGGATGAGATCGCGTGCCTCATCAAGGGCTGTAACTTCGTGCTGAGTGTCTGACTGAGTGTCTGACTGACTGAGTGACTGACTGACTGAGTGAGTGACTGACTGACTGAGTGACTGACTGACTGAGTGACTTACTGAATGACTGGGTGACTCACTGCAGGGTGGACAAGGAGGATGAGATCGCGTGCCTCATCAAGGGCTGTAACTTCGTGCTGAGTGTCTGACTGAGTGAGTGACTTACTGAGTGACTGGGTGACTGACTGAGTGACTGACTGGGTGACTGACTGAGTGACTGAGTGACTGACTGACTTACTGAGTGACTGAGTGACTGACTGAGTGACTGGGTGACTGACTGCAGGGTGGACAAGGAGGATGAGATCGCCTGCCTCAAGGGCTGTAACTTCGTGCTGAGTGTCTGACTGACTGACTGAGTGAGTGACTGACTGAGTGTCTGACTGACTGAGTGACTGAGTGTCTGACTGACTGAGTGACTGACTGACTGAGTGTCTGACTGGGTGACTGACTGAGTGACTGGGTGACTCACTGCAGGGTGGACAAGGAGGATGAGATCGCCTGCCTCAAGGGCTGTAACTTCGTGCTGAGTGTCTGACTGACTGACTGAGTGACTGACTGAGTGTCTGACTGACTGACTGAGTGACTTACTGAGTGACTGGGTGACTCACTGCAGGGTGGACAATGAGGATGAGATCGCGTGCCTCATCAAGGGCTGTAACTTCGTGCTGAGTGTCTGACTGAGTGTCTGACTGACTGAGTGACTGACTGACTGAGTGAGTGTCTGACTGACTGAGTGACTGACTGACTGAGTGACTTACTGAATGACTGGGTGACTCACTGCAGGGTGGACAAGGAGGATGAGATCGCGTGCCTCATCAAGGGCTGTAACTTCGTGCTGAGTGTCTGACTGAGTGAGTGACTTACTGAGTGACTGGGTGACTTACTGAGTGACTGACTGGGTGTCTGACTGAGTGACTGAGTGAGTGACTGAGTGACTGGGTGACTGACTGCAGGGTGGACAAGGAGGATGAGATCGCGTGCCTCATCAAGGGCTGTAACTTCGTGCTGAGTGTCTGACTGAGTGTCTGACTGACTGAGTGACTGACTGAGTGACTGAGTGACTGACTGAGTGACTGAGTGACTGGGTGACTGGGTGACTGACTGCAGGGTGGACAAGGAGGATGAGATCGCGTGCCTCATCAAGGGCTGTAACTTCGTGCTGAGTGTCTGACTGACTGAGTGACTGAGTGTCTGACTGAGTGTCTGACTGACTGAATGACTGAGTGACTGACTGAGTGACTGAGTGACTGACTGAGTGTCTGAGTGACTGACTGAGTGACTGACTGAGTGACTTACTGAGTGACTGGGTGACTCACTGCAGGGTGGACAAGGAGGATGAGATCGCGTGCCTCATCAAGGGCTGTAACTTCGTGCTGAGTGTCTGACTGAGTGTCTGACTGACTGAGTGACTGACTGACTGAGTGAGTGTCTGACTGACTGAGTGACTGACTGACTGAGTGACTGAGTGACTCACTGAGTGTCTGACTGACTGACTGAGTGACTTACTGAGTGACTGGATGACTCACTGCAGGGTGGACAAGGAGGATGAGATCGCGTGCCTCATCAAGGGCTGTAACTTCGTGCTGAAGAACATCCCAGAGGAGGCGTTTTCCTTCGTACGTCACGGCGAGCCCGAGTTCCGATTCCAGACGCTGCAGCAGCCAGACAGCTTCCCGTACCTCCTGGTGAACATTGGATCTGGGGTGTCCGTCATCAAGGTGGGTGGGGGGAGCGGTGGGTGGGTGGGTGGGTGGGTGGGGGGAGCGGTGGGTGAGTGAGTGGGTGGGTGGGTGAGTGAGTGAGTGGGTGAGAGAGTGAGAGTGAGTGAGTGAGTGGGTGTGGGTGGGTGGTGAACATTGGATCTGGGGTGTCCGTCATCAAGGTGGGTGGAGCGGTGGGCGGGTGGGGGGAGCGGTGGGTGGGTGGGGGGAGCGGTGGGTGGGTGGGTGAGAGAGTGAGTGAGTGAGTGAGAGTGAGTGTGCGGGTGTGGGTGGGTGGTGAACATTGGATCTGGGGTGTCCGTCATCAAGGTGGGTGGGGGGAGCGGTGGGTGGGTGGAGCGGTGGGGGGAGCGGTGGGTGGGGGGAGCGGTGGGTGGGTGGGGGGAGCGGTGGGTGGGTGAGTGAGTGAGTGAGAGTGAGTGTGAGTGAGTGAGTGTGTGGGTGTTGGTGGGTGGTGAACATTGGATCTGGGGTGTCCGTCATCAAGGTGGGTGGGGGGAGCGGTGGGTGGGTGGGTGGGGGGAGCGGTGGGTGGGTGGGGGGAGCGGTGGGCGGGTGAGTGAGTGGGTGGGTGAGTGAGTGAGTGAGTGGACGAGAGAGTGAGAGTGAGTGTGTGGGTGTGGGTGGGTGGTGAACATTGGATCTGGGGTGTCCGTCATCAAGGTGGGTGGGGGGAGCGGTGGGTGGGTGGAGCGGTGGGGGGAGCGGTGGGTGGGTGGGGGGAGCGGTGGGCGGGTGAGTGAGTGGGTGGGTGGGTGGGTGAGAGAGAGAGTGAGTGAGTGAGAGTGAGTGAGTGAGTGTGTGGGTGTGGGTGGGTGGTGAACATTGGATCTGGGGTGTCCGTCATCAAGGTGGGTGGGGGGAGCGGTGGGTGGGTGGGGGGAGCGGTGGGTGGGTGGGTGAGTGGGTGGGTGGGTGAGAGAGTGAGTGAGTGGGTGAGAGAATGAGAGTGAGTGAGTGGGTGTTGGTGGGTGGTGAACATTGGATCTGGGGTGTCCGTCATCAAGGTGGGTGGGGGGAGCGGTGGGTGGGTGGAGCGGTGGGGGGAGCGGTGGGTGGGTGGGGGGAGCGGTGGGCGGGTGAGTGAGTGGGTGAGTGGGTGGGTGGGTGAGAGAGTGAGTGGACGAGTGAGTGAGTGAGAGTGAGTGAGTGAGTGGGTGTGGGTGGGTGGTGAACATTGGATCTGGGGTGTCCGTCATCAAGGTGGGTGGGGGGAGCGGTGGGTGGGTGGGGGGAGCGGTGGGTGGGTGGGTGAGTGAGTGAGAGTGAGTGAGTGAGAGTGAGTGAGTGTGCGGGTGTGGGTGGGTGGTGAACATAGGATCTGGGGTGTCCGTCATCAAGGTGGGTGGGGGGAGCGGTGGGTGGGTGGGTGGGGGGAGCGGTGGGTGGGTGGGGGGAGCGGTGGGCGGGTGAGTGAGTGGGTGGGTGGGTGGGTGAGTGAGTGATTGGACGAGTGAGTGAGTGAGTGAGAGTGAGTGAGTGTGCGGGTGTGGGTGGGTGGTGAACATTGGATCTGGGGTGTCCGTCATCAAGGTGGGTGGGGGGAGCGGTGGGTGGGTGGGTGGGGGGAGCGGTGGGTGGGTGGGGGGAGCGGTGGGCGGGTGAGTGAGTGGGTGGGTGGGTGGGTGAGTGAGTGAGTGGACGAGTGAGTGAGTGAGTGAGAGTGAGTGAGTGTGCGGGTGTGGGTGGGTGGTGAACATTGGATCTGGGGTGTCCGTCATCAAGGTGGGTGGAGCGGTGGGCGGGTGGGGGGAGCGGTGGGTGGGTGGGGGGAGCGGTGGGTGAGTGGGTGAGTGAGTGAGTGAGTGGGTGGGTGAGAGAGTGAGTGAGTGAGTGAAAGTGAATGAGTGTGTGGGTGTGGGTGGGTGGTGAACATTGGATCTGGGGTGTCCGTCATCAAGGTGGGTGGGGGGGAGCGGTGGGTGGGTGGGTGGGGGGAGCGGTGGGTGGGTGGGTGAGTGGGTGGGCGGGTGAGTGAGTGGGTGGGTGGGTGAGTGAGTGAGAGTGAGTGAGTGAGAGTGAGTGAGTGAGAGTGAGTGAGTGAGTGTGCGGGTGTGGGTGGGTGGTGAACATTGGATCTGGGGTGTCCGTCATCAAGGTGGGTGGGGGGAGCGGTGGGTGGGTGAGTGAGTGGACGAGTGAGTGAGTGAGTGGACGGGTGAGTGAGTGGACGAGAGAGTGAGAGTGAGTGTGTGGGTGCGGGTGGGTGGTGAACATTGGATCTGGGGTGTCCGTCATCAAGGTGGGTGGGGGGAGCGGTGGGTGGGTGAGTGAGTGGACGAGTGAGTGAGTGAGTGGACGAGTGAGTGAGTGAGTGGACGAGAGAGTGAGAGTGAGTGTGTGGGTGTGGGTGGGTGGTGAACATTGGATCTGGGGTGTCCGTCATCAAGGTGGGTGGGGGGAGCGGTGGGTGGGTGGGTGGGGGGAGCGGTGGGTGGGTGAGTGAGTGAGTGGGTGAGAGAGTGAGTGAGTGGGTGAGTGTGCGGGTGTGGGTGGGTGGTGAACATTGGATCTGGGGTGTCCGTCATCAAGGTGGGTGGAGCGGTGGGCGGGTGGGGGGAGCGGTGGGTGGGTGGGGGGAGCGGTGGGTGAGTGGGTGAGTGAGTGAGTGAGTGGGTGGGTGAGAGAGTGAGTGAGTGAGTGAGAGTGAGTGAATGAGTGTGTGGGTGTGGGTGGGTGGTGAACATTGGATCTGGGGTGTCCGTCATCAAGGTGGGTGGGTGGAGCGGTGGGTGGGTGGGGGGAGCGGTGGGTGGGTGGGGAGAGCGGTGGGCGGGTGGACGGGTGAGTGAGTGGGTGGGTGGGTGAGAGAGTGAGTGAGTGGACGAGAGAGTGAGTGAGTGTGTGGGTGGGTGGTGAACATTGGATCTGGGGTGTCCGTCATCAAGGTGGGTGGAGCGGTGGGTGGGTGGACGGGTGAGTGAGAGTGAGAGTGAGTGGGTGAGTGGGTGAGTGAGTGGGTGAGTGGGTGAGTGAGTGGGTGAGTGAGTGAGTGGGTGAGTGAGTGGTGAGTGAGTGATAGAGTGAGTGGACGAGAGAGTGAGTGGTGAGTGAGAGAGTGAGTGGACGAGAGAGTGAGTGGTGAGTGAGTTGGTGAGTGGTGAGTGAGTGGTGAGTGAGTGGTGAGTGAGTGGTGAGTGAGTGTGAGTGGTGAGTGAGTGACTGGGTGGTGAGTGAGTGGTGAGTGAGTGGTGAGTGAGTGAGTGAGTGGACGAGTGAGTGGTGAGTGAGTGAGTGGTGAGTGAGTGGGTGGTGAGTGAGTGGTGAGTGAGTGGTGAGTGTTAGTGAGTGGTGAGTGAGTGGTGAGTGAGTGTGAGTGGTGAGTGAGTGACTGGGTGGTTGGTGAGTGAGTGGTGAGTGAGTGGTGAGTGAGTGACTGGGTGGTGAGTGAGTGGACGAGTGAGTGGTGAGTGAGTGAGTGGTGAGTGAGTGAGTGGTGAGTGGTGAGTGAGTGGTGAGTGAGTGGTGAGTGTTAGTGAGTGGTGAGTGTTAGTGAGTGGTGAGTGAGTGGTGAGTGAGTGTGAGTGGTGAGTGAGTGACTGGGTGGTGAGTGAGTGGTGAGTGAGTGGTGAGTGAGTGGTGAGTGAGTGACTGGGTGGTGAGTGAGTGGTGAGTGGTGAGTGAGTGAGTGGTGAGTGGTGAGTGAGTGGTGAGTGAGTGGTGAGTGAGTGGTGAGTGTTAGTGAGTGGTGAGTGAGCGGTGAGTGAGTGTGAGTGGTGAGTGAGTGACTGGGTGGTGAGTGAGTGAGTGGTGAGTGAGTGGTGAGTGAGTGAGTGGTGAGTGAGTGAGTGGTGAGTGGTGAGTGAGTGGTGAGTGAGTGGTGAGTGTTAGTGAGTGGTGAGTGTTAGTGAGTGGTGAGTGAGTGGTGAGTGAGTGTGAGTGGTGAGTGAGTGACTGGGTGGTGAGTGAGTGGTGAGTGAGTGGTGAGTGAGTGGTGAGTGAGTGACTGGGTGGTGAGTGAGTGGTGAGTGGTGAGTGAGTGAGTGGTGAGTGGTGAGTGAGTGGTGAGTGAGTGGTGAGTGAGTGGTGAGTGTTAGTGAGTGGTGAGTGAGCGGTGAGTGAGTGTGAGTGGTGAGTGAGTGACTGGGTGGTGAGTGAGTGAGTGGTGAGTGAGTGGTGAGTGAGTGAGTGGTGAGTGAGTGGTGAGTGAGTGAGTGGTGAGTGAGTGACTGGGTGGTGAGTGACTGGGTGGTGAGTGAGTGGTGAGTGAGTGACTGGGTGGTGAATGAGTGGTGAGTGGTGAGTGAGTGGTGAGTGGTGAGTGAGTGGTGAGTGAGTGGTGAGTGAGTGGTGAGTGAGTGTGAGTGGTGAGTGAGTGACTGGGTGGTGAGTGAGTGGTGAGTGAGTGGACGAGTGAGTGAGTGAGTGGTGAGTGAGTGAGTGGTGAGTGAGTGGTGAGTCTGCGTGTGCAGGTGGACTCTGAGGATGAGTTTGAGAGGATTGGTGGGAGCTCCATCGGTGGGCGAACTTTCTGGGGTCTGGGCGCTCTGCTCACCAAGACCATGGTGAGTGAGAGACACAGAGACACAGAGACACAGGGAGACACAGAGACACAGAGACACAGAGACACAGACACAGAGACACAGACACCGAGACACGGGGAGAGACACAGAGACACAGACACGGGGAGAGACACAGACACGGGGAGAGACACAGAGACACAGAGACATAGAGACACGGGGAGAGACACAGACACGGGGAGAGACACAGAGACACAGACACGGGGAGAGACACAGAGACACGGGGAGAGACACAGAGACACAGAGACATGGGGACAGACACAGAGACACAGAGACACGGGGAGAGACACAGAGACACAGAGACGCAGAGACACAGAGACACGGGGAGAGACACAGAGACACAGAGACATGGGGAGAGACACAGAGACACGGGGAGAGACACAGAGACACGGGGAGAGACACAGAGACACGGGGAGAGACACAGAGACACGGGGAGAGACACAGAGACACGGGGAGAGACACAGAGACACGGGGAGAGACACAGAGACACAGAGACACGGGGAGAGACACAGAGACATGGGGAGAGACACAGAGACACGGGGAGAGACACAGAGACACGGGGACATGGGGAGAGATACAGAGACACGGGGAGAGACACAGAGACGCAGAGACACGGGGAGAGACACAGAGACACGGGGAGAGAGACAGAGACACAGAGACACGGGGAGAGACACAGAGACACGGGGAGAGACACAGAAACACAGAGACACAGACATGGGGAGAGACAGAGACACGGCGAGAGACACAGAGACACAGAGACACGGGGACATGGGGAGAAAGACAGAGACACGGGGAGAGACATAGAGACACAGAGACAGAGACACGGGGAGAGACACAGAGACACCGGGAGAGACACAGAGACACGGGGAGAGACACAGAGACACAGAGACACGGGTGCATGGGGAGAGAGACAGAGACACGTGGACATGGGGAGAGACAGAGACACGGGGAGAGACACAGAGACACGGGGAGAGACACAGAGACACGGGGAGAGACACAGAGACACGGGGAGAGACACAGAGACATGGGAGAGACACAGAGACACGGGGACATGGGGAGAGACACAGAGACACATAGACACGGGGAGAGAGACAGACACGGGGACATGGGGAGAGACAGACACGGGAGGAGAGAGACAGAGACACCGGGAGAGAAACAGAGACACAGGAGGAGAGAGACAGAGACACCGGGAGAGAGACAGAGACACGGGGAGAGAGACACGGGGAGAGAGACAGAGACACAGAGAGAGAGACAGCGACACAGGGAGAGAGACACGGGGAGAGACACAGAAACACGGGGAGAGAGAGACAGAGACACGGGGAGAGACACAGAGACACAGAGACACAGCGACACGGGGAGAGACAGAGAGACAGAGAGACAGAGACACAGAGACACGGGGAGAGACACAGAGACACGGGGAGAGACACAGAGACACGGGGAGAGAGAGACAGAGACACGGGGGGAGAGAGACAGACACGGCGAGAGAGACAGAGACACGGGGAGAGAGACAGAGACACGGGGAGAGAGACAGAGACACGGGGAGAGACACAGAGACACAGACACGGGAGAGAGACAGACACAGAGACACGGGGGGAGAGAGACAGACACGGGGAGAGAGACAGAGACACGGGGAGAGAGACAGAGACACGGGGAGAGAGACAGAGACACGGGGAGAGACACAGAGACACGGGGAGAGACACAGAGACACGGGGAGAGAGAGACAGAGACACGGGGGAGAGAGACAGACACGGGGAGAGAGACAGAGACACGGGGAGAGAGACAGAGACACGGGGAGAGAGAGACAGACACACGGGGGGAGAGAGACAGAGACACGGGGGAGAGACAGAGACACGGGGAGAGAGAGACAGAGACACGGGGAGAGATAGACAAAGACACAGGGGAGAGAGAGACAGAGACACGGGGAGAGAGAGACAGAGACACGGGGAGGGAGAGACAGAGACACAGGGGAGAGAGAGACAGAGACACAGGGAGAGAGAGACAGAGACACGGGAAGAGAGAGACAGAGACACGGGGAGAGAGACAGACTCGGGGAGAGAGAGACAGAGACACGGGGAGAGAGAGACAGAGACACGGGGAGAGAGAGACAGAGACACGGGAAGAGAGAGACAGAGACACGGGGAGAGAGACAGAGACATGGGGAGAGAGACGGAGACACGGGCAGAGAGACAGAGACACGGGGAGAGAGAGACAGAGACACGGGGAGAGAGAGACAGAGACACGGGGAGAGAGAGACAGAGACACGGGGAGAGAGACAGAGACACGGGGAGAGAGACAGAGACACGGAGAGAGAGAGACAGAGACACGGGGAGAGAGAGACAGAGACACGGGGAGAGAGACAGAGACACGGGGAGAGAGACAGAGACACGGGGAGAGAGAGACAGAGACACGGGGAGAGAGACAGAGACACTGGGAGAGACAGAGACACGGGGGGAGAGAGACAGAGACACGGGGAGAGAGAGACAGAGACACGGGGAGAGAGAGACAGAGACACAGGGAGAGAGACAGAGACACGGGGAGAGAGACAGAGACACTGGGAGAGAGACGGAGACACGGAGAGGGAGACAGAGACACGGGGAGAGAGACAGAGACACTGGGAGAGACAGAGACACGGGGGGAGAGACAGAGACACGGGGAGAGAGACAGAGACACGGGGAGAGAGACAGAGACACGGGGAGAGAGACAGAGACACGGGGAGAGAGAGAAAGAGACACGGGGGGAGAGACAGAGACACGGGGGGAGAGAGACAGAGACACGGGGGGAGAGAGACAGAGACACGGGAGAGAGACAGAGACAGAGACACGGGAGAGAGACAGAGAGACAGGGAGAGAGACAGAGAGACCGAGAGACAGAGACACGGGAGAGAGACAGAGACACGGTGAGAGAGACAGAGACACGGGGAGATAGACAGAGACACATTGAGAGAGAGACAGAGACACGGGAAGAGAGAGACAGACACGGGGGGAGAGACAGAGACACAGGGAGAGAGACGGAGACACGGGGAGAGAGACAGAGACACGGGGAGATAGACAGAGACACGGAGAGAGAGAGACAGAGACACGGGAAGAGAGAGACAGAGACGCGGAGAAAGACAGAGACATGGGGAGAGAGAGATGGAGACACGGGGGGGGAGACACAGAGACACGGGGAGAGAGACAGAGACACGGGGAGAAAGACAGAGACAAGGGGAGAGAGAGATAGAGACACGCGGAGAAAGACAGAGACACGGGGAGAGAGAGACGGAGATACGGGGGGAGAGACACAGAGACACGGGGAGAGAGACAGAGACACGGGGAGAGAGACAGAGACACGGGGAGAGACAGAGACACGGGGAGAGAGAGACAGAGACACGGGGAGAGAGAGACAGAAACACGGGGAGAGAGACAGAGACACGGGGAGAGAGACAGAGACACGGGGGGAGAGAGACAGAGACACGGGGAGAGAGACAGAGACATGGGAAGAGAGACAGCGAGACACTGACACAGAGACACTATAGCTTTGTCTATAGTGTCACTGTCTCAGTGTCTGTGTTTCTGAGTGTCTGTGCGTGTGTCTGTGTGTCTCTGTGTCTGTGTTTCTGAGTGTGTGTGTCTGTGTGTCTCAGTGTCTGTGTGTCTCAGTGTCTGTGTTTCTGAGTGTGTGTGTGTGTCTGTGCGTGGCGTGTGTCTGTGTGTCTCACTGTCTCTGTGTCTGTGTTTCTGAGTGTGTGTGTGTGTCTGTGTGTCTCAGTGTCTGTGTTTCTGAGTGTCTGTGCGTGTGTCTGTGTGTCTCAGTGTCTGTGTTTCTGAGTGTGTGTGTCTGTGTGTCTCAGTGTCTGTGTGTCTCAGTGTCTGTGTTTCTGAGTGTGTGTGTGTGTCTGTGCGTGGCGTGTGTCTGTGTGTCTCAGTGTCTCTGTGTCTGTGTTTCTGAGTGTGTGTGTGTGTCTGTGTGTCTCAGTGTCTGTGTTTCTGAGTGTGTGTGTGTCTGTGCGTGGCGTGTGTCTGTGTGTCTCAGTGTCTGTGTGTGTGTGTCTCCGCGTGTCTCCGCGTGTCTCTCCGTGCGTGTCTCCGGGTAGACGTTTGACGAGCTGCTGCAGCTGTCGGCCCGAGGTCAGCACGACGCTGTAGACATGTTGGTGCGGGACATCTACGGTGGGAGCTGTGACTCGCTGGGTCTGCCTGGTGATCTCATCGCCAGTAGCTTCGGGCGGATACCAGCTCCAGGCCAAGGTGAGTCTCACACTCAGACTCAGTACACTCACTACACTCACACTCACTACACTCACACTCATTACACTCACACTCGCTGGGTCTGCCTGGTGATCTCATCGCCAGTAGCTTCGGGCGGATACCAGCTCCAGGCCAAGGTGAGTCTCACACTCAGACTCAGTACACTCACTACACTCACACTCACTACACTCACACTCATTACACTCACACTCGCTGGGTCTGCCTGGTGATCTCATCGCCAGTAGCTTCGGGCGGATACCAGCTCCAGGCCAAGGTGAGTCTCACACTACACTCACTACACTCACACTACACTCACACTTAGTACACTCACATTCACTACACTCACACGCACTACACTCACACCCAGACTCGCTGGGTCTGCCTGGTGATCTCATCGCCAGTAGCTTCGGGCGGATACCAGCTCCAGGCCAAGGTGAGTCTCACACTTAGACTCACACTTAGTACACTCACACTTAGTACACTCAGACTCAGTACACTCACTACACTCACACTCACTACACTCACTACACTCACTACACTCACACTCACTACACTCAGACTCGCTGGGTCTGCCTGGTGATCTCATCGCCAGTAGCTTCGGGCGGATACCAGCTCCAGGCCAAGGTGAGTCTCACACTCAGACTCACACTTAGTACACTCACTACACTCACTACACTCAGACTCACTACACTCACACTCACTACACTCAGACTCACTACACTCACACTTAGTACACTCACACTTAGTACACTCACTACACTCACACTCACTACACTCACTAAACTCACTACACTCACTACACTCACTACACACATTCGCTACACTCACTACACTCACAACACTCACACTTAGTACACTCACTACACTCACTACACTCACACTCCCTACACTCACTACACCCACTACACTCACACTCACTACACTCACTACACCCACTACACTCACACTCACTACACTCACTACACTCACACTCACTACACTCACTACACTCACTACACTCACACTCACTACACTCACTACACTCACTACACTCACACTCACTACACTCACTACACTCACTACACCCACTACACTCACCACACTCACTACACCCACTACACTCACACTCACTACACTCACACTCACTACACTCACTACACCCACTACACTCACACTCACTACACTCACTACACTCACTACACCCACTACACTCACCACACTCACACTCACTACACCCACTACACTCACACTCACTACACTCACACTCACTACACTCACACTCACTACACTCACTACACTCACACTCACTACACCCACTACACCCACTACACTCACACTCACTACACTCACTACACTCACTACACCCACTACACTCACCACACTCACACTCACTACACCCACTACACTCACACTCACTACACTCACTACACTCACTACACCCACTACACTCACCACACTCACACTCACTACACCCACTACACTCACACTCACTACACTCACTACACTCACTACACTCACTACACCCACTACACTCACCACACTCACTACACCCACTACACTCACACTCACTACACTCACACTCACTACACTCACACTCACTACACTCACTACACTCACTACACTCACACCCACTACACTCACACTCACTACACTCACACTCACTACACCCACCACACTCACACTCACTACACTCACACCCACTACACTCACACTCACTACACTCACACTCACTACACCCACTACACCCACTACACTCACACTCACTACACCCACTACACCCACTACACTCACTAGACTCACACTCACTACACTCACTACACCCACCAGACTCACCACACTCTCACCCCGCACACCTCTCTCCCCCATCATCTCCGCAGAGTTTGCGAAGGAGGACATGGCTAAGAGTTTCAGACTCACTACACTCACTATACTCACCACACTCACTACACTCACACTCACTACACCCACTACACCCACTACACCCACTACACTCACACTCACTACACTCACACTCACTACACTCACACTCACTACACTCACACTCACCACACTCACACTCACTACACCCACTACACCCACTACACTCACACTCACTACACTCACACCCACTACACTCACACTCACTACACTCACTACACTCACACTCACTACACCCACTACACCCACTACACCCACTACACTCACACTCACTACACTCACACTCACTACACTCACACTCACTACACTCACACTCACTACACCCACTACACCACTACACCCACTACACTCACACTCACTACACTCACACCCACTACACTCACACTCACTACACTCACTACACTCACACTCACTACACTCACTACACTCACTACACCCACTACACTCACACTCACTACACTCACACTCACTACACTCACACTCACTACACTCACACTCACTACACTCACACTCACTACACTCACACTCACTACACCCACTACACCCACTACACCCACTACACTCACACTCACTACACTCACACCCACTACACTCACACTCACTACACTCACTACACTCACACTCACTACACCCACTACACCCACTACACCCACTACACTCACACTCACTACACTCACACTCACTACACTCACACTCACTACACTCACACTCACTACACTCACACTCACCACACTCACACTCACTACACCCACTACACCCACTACACTCACACTCACTACACTCACACCCACTACACTCACACTCACTACACTCACTACACTCACACTCACTACACCCACTACACCCACTACACTCACTACACTCACACTCACTACACTCACACCCACTACACTCACACTCACTACACTCACACTCACTACACTCACACTCACTACACCCACTACACCCACTACACCCACTACACTCACACTCACTATACTCACACCCACTACACTCACACTCACTACACTCAATACACTCACACTCACTACACCCACTACACCCACTACACTCACTACACTCACACTCACTACACTCACACTCACTACACTCACACTCACTACACTCACACTCACTACACTCACACTCACTACACCCACTACACCCACCACACCCACTACACTCACACTCACTACACTCACACTCACTACACTCACACTCACTACACTCACTACACTCACACTCACTAAACCCACTACACCCACTACACCCACTACACTCACACTCACTACACTCACACTCACTACACTCACACTCACTACACTCACACTCACTACACTCACACTCACTACACCCACTACACCCACTACACCCACTACACTCACACTCACTATACTCACACCCACTACACTCACACTCACTACACTCACTACACTCACACTCACTACACCCACTACACCCACTACACCCACTACACTCACACTCACTACACTCACACACACTACACTCACACTCACTACACTCACACTCACTACACTCACACTCACTACACCCACTACACCCACTACACCCACTACACTCACACTCACTACACTCACACCCACTACACTCACACTCACTACACTCACTACACTCACACTCACTACACCCACTACACCCACTACACCCACTACACTCACACTCACTACACTCACACTCACTACACTCACACTCACTACACTCACACTCACTACACTCACACTCACTACACCCACTACACCCACTACACCCACTACACTCACACTCACTACACTCACACCCACTACACTCACACTCACTACACTCACTACACTCACACTCACTACACCCACTACACCCACTACACTCACACTCACTACACTCACACTCACTACACCCACTACACCCACTACACCCACTACACTCACACTCACTACACTCACACCCACTACACCCACACTCACTACACTCACTACACTCACTATACTCACACTCACTACACTCACTACACCCACCACACTCACCACACTCACACTCACTACACCCACTACACTCACACTCACTACACTCACACTCACTACACCCACTACACCCACTACACTCACTACACTCACACTCACTACACTCACTAGACTCACACTCACTACACCCACCACACTCACCACACTCACACTCACTACACCCACTACACTCACACTCACTACACTCACACTCACTACACCCACTACACCCACTACACCCACTACACTCACACTCACTACACTTACACCCACTACACCCACACTCACTACACTCACTATACTCACACTCACTACACTCACTACACCCACCACACTCACCACACTCACACTCACTACACCCACTACACTCACACTCACTACACTCACACTCACTACACCCACTACACCCACTACACTCACTACACTCACACTCACTACACTCACTACACCCACCAGACTCACCACACTCTCACCCCACACCCCTCCCTCCCCCATCACCCCCGCAGAGTTTGCGAAGGAGGACATGGCTAAGAGTTTCAGACTCACTACACTCACTATACTCACCACACTCACACTCACTACACTCACACTCACTACACTCAGACTCACTACACTCACACTTAGTACACTCACACTTAGTACACTCACTACACTCACACTCACTACACTCACTAAACTCACTACACTCACTACACTCACTACACACATTCGCTACACTCACTACACTCACAACACTCACACTTAGTACACTCACTACACTCACTACACTCACACTCCCTACACTCACTACACCCACTACACTCACACTCACTACACTCACTACACCCACTACACTCACACTCACTACACTCACTACACTCACACTCACTACACTCACTACACTCACTACACTCACACTCACTACACTCACTACACTCACTACACTCACACTCACTACACTCACTACACTCACTACACCCACTACACTCACCACACTCACTACACCCACTACACTCACACTCACTACACTCACACTCACTACACTCACTACACCCACTACACTCACACTCACTACACTCACTACACTCACTACACCCACTACACTCACCACACTCACACTCACTACACCCACTACACTCACACTCACTA